CCTTGCGCTCTCCACACTAGGTCGCCTTCCTTAAAGTATCTTTTGGTGAGGTTGGAATTAAACCTCCGAGTCATTCTTTGTTTGCACGCTTCGGCAACAAGCTGAGCCCTATCGCGCACTTTGTCAACCATATCGACCTCGGCCCGAAGCGATGCATCGTTGGAAGCTTCATCAAAATGTGATCAGCGAAATGAAGGCTCTCTAACTTCAACCAGAATCATTGTATCGGTGCCATACGTCAATCGAAAAGGGGGTCTCTTGGGTTGTGGACTGGGGGGTGCAACGATAAGCCCATAGTACTTTCGAAAGCTCTTCGGCCCAGACTCCTTTGGCTTCTCCCAAGCGTTTCTTCAATTCCGAGAGAATCACTTTGTTGGTGGCTTTGGCTTGGCCGTTTGATTGCGGATGCTCGACTGATGTAAATCAGTGTTTGATCCCCAAGTCTTAGAGAAACTTATTAAGCTTCTAGTCTGTAAATTGAAGGTCGTTGTCCATTACAATGGCATGAGGGATGCCGAAGCGTGTGATGATATTCTTCTAGAGGAACTTTTAAATGTTACTTGCTGTGATGGTGGCAAGTGGCTCGGCCTCGATCCACTTGGTGAAATAATCAATTGTGACCAGCAAGAACTTGCATTGTCCTTTGGCAATAGGGAATGGACCCAGTATATCCATTCCCCATAAGGCGAACAGCCCCGGCGAACTGATGCTATGTAGCTGTTTGGCCGATGCATGAATTAGGTTTCCATGTTTCTGGCATTGAAGACACCGTTTGACGAACTCCATGCAATCAGACCTGAGTGTCACCCAGTAGTAGCCTTCCCTTAGTACTTTTGCGGCTAACGTCCTTCCCCCCGAGTGAGAACCGCAGATTCCTTCGTGGACTTCCCTCACAACATAATCGGCTTGTTCGGAGTCGAGACATTTAAGCAAAGGAGTTGAAAAACCTCTCCAGTAGAGTTCAAACCCCACTACCGAATATCTTGCAGGTTGGGTTATCAGCTTCTTGGCAACCGAAGGGCATGCGGGTTCGGTGCCATCAATAATAAAGCGTAATATGTCGCTCATCCATGTTGCCGGTTGCCCGGTAACTGCTAGACATTTTGTGGTATCGATGCTCGGGGTTGAGAGTTCAAAATGAAGGGTGGTCCGGAGTTGCCCAGGTTTACGATTGTTGGTCGCTAATCGGGCTAGCTGATCGTCCCTCTCATTGTTCTCTCGGGTGTGTGCTTCACGGTTACTTCATCAAAATTTTGTCACATGTCTCGAAAAGTATGATAATACTTCAACAAGTGGGCATCCTTAACTTGAAAGTTCTCATTCACCTGTTCCGAGACGACCTTCAAGTCAGTCCAACATACCAGCTTCCGAACGCCCAATTCTCGGGCCAACCTTAACCCTGCCAATAGCGCCTCGTATTCGGCCTGATTATTCGAAGCTTTGAAAGAAAAATGAAGGGATTGTTCAAGCGCCAAGACTGTCGGTTTTTCAAGGATGATTCCTGCCCCACTGCCTTGGTTGTTAGACGATCCATCAACACGGATCGTCCATTGGTCACTCTCGAAATGTCCGATTGGTTGCAACTCGTTGATGAAATCGACTAGGCATTGCGACTTGATCGGGCCTCTTGGTTCAAATGATATGTCAAACTCGGATAACTCGATTGACCAAGCCATCATGTGTCCTGCCAACTCGGGCTTTCTCAAGACTTTGGCGATTGGGTAATCAGTACGGACTATGACCCAATGGCTATGTAAGTATTGTCGGAGACTCCGTGTCGTGTGGACCAAACCAAGCGCCACCTTTTCCAGGAGTTGGTACCTCCCTTCGGAGTTTTGAAGCATTCGGCTGACAAATTAGATAGGTCTTTGAGAATCTTTTTCTTGCACCAAGACGACACTAATTGCTTCGTTGGAGACACACAGGTACACCACCATGTCCAGATTAGGATCGGGTTTGGAAAGGATCGGAGGTGAGCCGAGTCGTTGCTTGAGGGTTTTAAAAGCTTCCTCACATTTTGTCGTCCAGCTGAACTTGCTGGCTTTCTTTAGCAGTCCAATGATGGGTTTTGCTGTTTCGGCTAGGCAGGGAAGGAACTGAGAGAGTGAAGTTAGCCGACTAGCTAACTTTTGAACTTCTTTGAAGTTGTGTGAACTCCTCATTCCAATCACCGTATGGCATTTATCTAGATTGGCCTCAATGTCTCTGGCTGACAACATGAAGCCGAGGAATTTACCCCCAGCTATGCCAAAAATGCACTTTTCAGGGTTTAGCCTCGTGTCGTGTTTCCAAAGCTGTTGAAATACTTCTGCAAGATCATCTTTATGAGTGCCGAGATCATTTGATTTGACGACCATGTCATCAACATACACTTCAAGATTTTTGCTAATCTGAAACTTGAAGATCTTGTCCATTAGCCACTGATAAGTTTCCCCAACATTTTTTAAACCGAATGGCATCACCCAATAACAGTAGTTGGCCAATTCGGTGATGAAAGTTGTTTTCCCCTCGTCCTGTGGGTGCATTCGGATTTGATTGTATCCCGAATAGGCATCCAGGAAAGTTAACAGCTTATGCCCTGTTGCCCCGTCGACGAATCGGTCAATGTTAGGCAATGGGCAGGCATCTTTGGGGCAGGCCTTGTTAAGGTTGGTGTAGTCCGTGCACATTCGCCATTTTCCATTGGGTTTCTTGACCATGACTACATTTGCTAGCCAAGTGGTAAATTGCATGATGTTGTGTATTTTACTCGTATTTTAGCACTTTAATTCACAAGAATTCATAGCATAATCATGCATATCTTTCATGTTTTTAATAAATTTTTATATCATTTTCCTATTTTATGCTTTTCTTGGTATGTGTTGTGTTTTCTCTGAGCAGGATCAAGATTTAAGAATTAAAGAGGAAATGCTGAGCTACAAGGAAAATCACGGCCGTGATTCTAAATCACGCCCGTGATTCACCAGAGAAAATCACGGCCGTGACTCCCAATCACACCCGTGAACGCCACTGACCCTTCATAGATGTGCTCCAGAGAAGATCACGGTCGTGATTCTCAGTCACGGCCGTGATTCACTTCGCGTCCCAGCTTTTTAAGTTTTATGTTTTATTTTTATTTTTGTAATTTTTATCTTGGTAGTTTTACCTTTTTACCCTTTTAGGTTATAAATTAGATGAGGTTAGCCTAGAACAGCACTTTTGGTTTTCGGAGACAGTTTTATTTAGTTTTTGACACTTGGAGAAGGTTGGGCGCCTGTGCCATCGACTCTAAGGTTTGCTTTTCTTTTATTCTTCTTTTCTTGGAGAACTACTATGAACTCCTGTGAGTAGTTTCCCTTTTTCTGGGATCAGGGCTTAGCCTCTGAGAACCTCTTTATTAATGCATTATTCAGTTTCTTAATTTTATTCCAATTCTTGATTTGTTCTTTTATATTTTATATATGAACTTTAACATTATTGTTTTCATAATAACATTAATTAAGGATGAACTGAGAGGAGAACTTGATTATAATTATGATAAACAATTAATCTTAATTTTCATAATCATAGATAATTAGGGATGAACTGAGAGGAGAACCTAATTATCGGAACCTAAAGGAACAGACTTGAGTGTTAAATCACGAGAGTTGATTTAAGCTTTCGAGGAGCAATAGATTAACAAAGATCTTAATGGGTTTAATTGAACGTAATTACCACGAGAGTAGGGATTAATTTTAATTAAACACGTCCTCGTAGCCTGAGAAGGTGCAAGGATTAAATTAGGTTAAGACTACCTTCAAGATGGAATAGAATTAATTAATGAAAATAATAATTCAATATTGTTGGAACTCTTTGTGCGAACCCTAGATTCCCGGAAATCTCCTTATCTTATCTTAAAGTTTTATCTTATTCATTAATTGCATTACTATCTCTTTTACCAGCGAATCTGATCTTATCATCTCAAAACAAACATTCTATCTGTTTTAAAATTCAAATTAAAATACTAGTAATTCTAGGTCAAACACGTAGTCCCTGTGATTCGATATTTATTACTTGACGACAACCGTACACTTGCGGTTTTTCTATACATCATTGCACTTCCCGAATGAATCGGGCTTGTAATAACTTAGCGACCTCCGATTCAACATCAACTTTCCTTTCCGTTCCCATCTTCCTTTTTTGTTGAGCAACCGGTTTGGTTGCCGGGCAGATTGACAATCTATGGCACATAAAATCTGGGTCTATGCCTGGCATGTCCAACGGCGCCCAGGCGAACAAGTCTTTGTTCGAGACAATCACTTTGCTTAATGCGAGCCTCTCAGTTTCTGACAAGCCGATCCCGATGTAAGTGACTTGAGATTGTTGCGAGCCGATCTGCAAAGGGACTTTTTCTTCTATCAATTCTGCCAGTTCGTCATTCAATCTTGGGTTGAGATCCCATGTTGCAGCCGATTCCGAGGACTGAGGAGTTATTGCATTAACTCGCCTTGATTTTGCTTGCTTCTCTCCGATTGGGGGTACCCATAGACTTGCAAAGTAACATTCCCGAACTGCCTTCTGATCGGCATGGATGGTGAGAATGTTTCCTCTGTCTAATGGGAATTTCATAGCAAGATGCGGTGTCGAAACGGTGGCCCCTAAAGCATTCAACGAAGGCCGACCAAGTAGTATATTGTATGACGTGTTGGCCCGAATGACAATATACTTTACCTAGACATCCCGATGCTCCTTTTCGTCAAAGCAAAATCGAGTGGATAGTTTGATGGATCCCTTGGTGTTGACCCTCTCTCCTGCAAAGCCGACAAGTGGCTCGTTATAGGGAATACGTTCCTCCTCGGGAATGCCAAGCTGTTTGAAGGTATTCCAGTACAGAATGTCGGCCGAACTACCCTAATCTATCAATTTCTTTTTCAAAATGCAATTATGTATCTCCACACTGATGACCATAGGGTCATCTTGGATCGGTCGATGCCTTGAAAGTCCGCATCAGTGAATGTGATGGTAGGCAACCACCGAGTCGATCATTTTTCAACAACATTGACTGATCTGACTACCCGCAGATGTCTCTTTTGAGCCGACGAAGTTGATCCTCCCCCCGCAAAGCCTCCGACAATTGTGTTGATTACGCACCTATGTGACATTTGTGGTTCTTCCTTTCTGTCTCTTGATCGACTGCGCTCGCGGCGATGTCTATTTGAGCGCTCGCGGCGATGTCTATTTGAGCGCTCGTGTCTGTCCCAGTTTTGAGACTGGTATGCGGGCTGATGCCGAGACGAGTTTGGCCGATCAACAAAATTTTGGAGTTGTCCTTGTTTGATTAGATCGTCAATCCGATCCTTGAGGGCCGCACACTCCTCTGTGGAATGTCCGCGATTGCGGTGATACCTACAAGATTTGTTTGTATCATCTCGGGGGGGAGTTAATGCTCTTTTGGGGACTGCCAACACTTCCGATGCCAGAGCCTGTTCAAGCACGGTGGCTCGGCTTGCATTGAGAGGAGTGTAGTGAGAATATTTCGGATTGCGTGCGGGTAGTTCTCGGAGGGTTAACTCCTTGTTCCGCCCTCTGAATGGTTGTTCCGCCACCTTTTCGGCTTTGCTTACTGGTTCGGCTCGGGCTTGGTTGCGGAAATTGGCTAGTTCTTCCATCTGCATATATTTGTCCGCCCTTCTCCGTAAATCATCCATGTCAACGGGGTTTTTTTTGCAAATGCTGTTAACAAAAGGCCCTGGCTTTAGAGCCGTGGTAAGATGGTGAAGTGCCACTGCTGCATTGAGATTCCTGATTTCAAGGGCTGCCTTGTTGAACAGATCCATGAAGGCTCGTAGCGACTCTTTCTTATCTTGCCGAATGTTGACCAGTGACAGGGAGGTTAGTTGGTGTGGCCGGTAGCAAACTGAATGGTAAATAGTGATGACAAAGTGCTAAAGGAATCAATCGAGTTGGGTGAAAGCCGAGTGAACCAGCTTAAGGCTCGTCCTTTCAAGGATGTTGGAAAAATCCTACATAGGGCCGCATCATCTGTGGTATTCAACGTCACTTGAGTAAGGAAGATGTCAATATGTTCATCGGGGTCTGTAGTACCATCATACTTGTCTATTGGAAGAGCTTTCCAATGATCTAACAAAGGTGACTGCATGATAGATGAGGTAAAGGGATGTCGATGAACGCTAACTGGCTGGACACTTGTCAATGGTCCAATAGTCGGGATTTTTTTTGGGGTGACAACCGAAGCGCGAGGTGCCGATGTATGGAATTCCAAGGACTGTGACGATGCTTATGTTTGATCATGAGTCGACTGAGTGGGTTTCCAAGATGGGTCCTGACTTTTCAGAGCGGCATTCTCCGCTTTCAAAGCCGAAAGTTCTTTAGCATCTTTTTCTCTTTGCCGCCTCATGGCGGCCATTTCCTCTTTCAGTTGATGAATGGTTTCCGAAAGGTTGGTTTCATCCACCACCTCCACATGTTCCTCTTCTCCTTCGAATCTGTGGTCTTTTGTGTTTGTCTTCCTTGTCTTAGCCATTGTTTTGATCCTGTCGACTTGCTCTTTCAATCTCTCAATTCGACCCCACGGTGGGTGCCAAATGTACCTGTCTGAAGGACACACTAGTAATCTTCTCGTTCTCTGAGGGCTAAGCAAGAGCTCCAATCGAATATTTCGGTGATAGGGAGGGTACCTGCAAAAGGCACTCCAATGCTCAAGTCAAGACAAGCACATATATCCATGGTAATTTATGAACAGTGACATTATCTCGTGACATGAGCTATTTATACTGACATTTATGGGCCCTGCAACAGGATTACCGTATTAGGTAATACATCCCTAATTAGCTTATTAGTGTGATTAACCTTTAATTCTTGATTAAGGGTAATCCTTGAGTGTATGGTGTACCTGGTGGCCGATCGAGTGTCGACCACCAGGTTCGGCCATTCGGTGGCTTATGGGGTTTCGGATACATGATGGTCGAATACTCTTACTCGTACAAAATCATTATACTCTTTAATTATTAAAAAAAATCATAATGATTACCATTTCTTTTTAATAACTATCTGTTTCATTAATTTTAATTTTATCAAATAAATATTTTTCTAACTGTATTAAATTAATATTAAGAGTCATAAAGTATCCCGTTTTCCCTTGTATTATATAAAGGTAATTACTTTTAAATATACTAAAATAACATAAACTAAAAAAGAGAAACACGTTCAACATAATTTGGAATCCCACGAGTATAGCCGTGAAATAGACTCAAGGAGTCATGAGAAATCTTAGTCAACGTATTCTTTTAAATATATTGTTTTTAATTAGTTGAATTTTATAAAATAAATACAAAATTTTGTAAGACCTACATTTTATTTAATAATTTTCTCATATAATTTTGTGATTTTAAATAAACTTTAGCTAATAAAAAGATGTTTTAAAAATATATCAATATCATTTTTTGTTTGTACTAAGAATATTTTCTAATAACAAATAGTTAGAAATTACTCCCTTAGCTTTTATAATAAAAAAATATAATTTTTTTCTTGAATTTAAGTAAATTTTAATTACTTTTAATCTTTTAATGATATCCTTCTTAAAATAAGGTTCTTTCAAGACTTTTAGTTACATCACTTTTGTTTTTAGAATTTATAATAAAGATAATTTAAGAAAAATATTATAAGGTTAATAAAATTTAATACAATAAATTAATTTTTTTAATATGTGTAAAAGTAGATTTTTATTTTTTACTTATAAAAAAGATCAACGTAATTAATTCTTTTAAAAAAAGGTAAACTTCATTGTAATAAGTTATTTTTTCAATAAATATTCTCCATACATATAAAGTTAAAAATTGAATTATTATCAACATACTTTAAATAACATTAAGTAATCGATTCAACGAGTACCACAAAATCTATCCATAATGAATAGGTAATTGTCTACTTAATAAGCAAGGGCTTGGCTACAAGTACCTTAATACTCAATCCAACCTATACTTACAAAAAAAAAATTAAAAAAAATAATAATAATAAAATAATGTTTCCTTCCCTTTAGTTTCTGAAATAAAATTTCTTTTGCAACACTTGATATGTCAAAAGTAGCTACTGAGGTAAAAAGATATGTAAGATAAAAAAATAAAATAAAATTGACGAGTATTAATAAATTCTTTAAAGTTAAATAATATTCATAAATCATTACCCATATGATAAATGCGTGCAAATCCTCTCCAATTGGTGTAAAAAAAAATGGACATCTCCAGTCCTTAACAACTTCTATTGACACATGTATTAAAAATAATCTTATGGCTGAAAAGTGTTTTAATTTAAAAAGGATGGATTGAATTAAAAATATTAGTTAAGTCGTTTCGCTTCTACTACTTGAGAGAAAATTTGGTTTTTATTTATTTATTTTATATTCTTTTATGTGAACTTGGAGATGAGATAAGTGATTCATAATCTTACTGAAAATCTTCAATAAAATTAGTGGTTAGCTATACTTTTACATGAAGTCGTGCTTTATCCTAATCTAAAATTTTTGTAATAAAAAAAGTTACATGAAATACTTAAAAAACTATAAACACTTGTATCATCTACCCGCAAAATGTTTTTTTAAACAAAACAACTTGCTTGTAGTTTATTCATACATGAAAAATAAAAATAAAAAATCTAAACACGATTATATCATCTTTACACGAAAACGTAACATATCCTCACTATTTTTACTTTACAGGTGTAACACTATATGTATAGTTGTTCTATTTAATTATATGAATTATATGATTTAATTTTTGTTTTGTCATTATTAATGTTGTTTTAGAATTTTGAGGGCAAGAGATCTTTGAGAATTAAGTTATCTCTGAGTTAATTGTGGTTAGAATTAGTTAGGTCAGTAGGAGTAAGGATATATAAGGTTTTCTTAAGACATGAATTTCATAAATTCATTTATAAAAAAAAACTAGAGAGAAGACCTATGGAGCTAGAGAGATTCTTTCTTTCCTCATTTCCTCTGATTCATCCTAACCTCTACTTACAATTGATTAGAATTAATAGATTGGTGATTCAAAGTTTTTGGAGCCGGTAATCCCAAGTGAGAAATGCGTAGAGTTTGTTGCCTTCTTCCTTTTCTCTTATTTTTTTTAGAGCGATTAAAGTTCAGGAAAGTTTGTTGATTGAAAAATTGTTGATGTATGATTGTTCTTTGTTGTTTGGAATCATTAATTATAGTTGAAATTAGTTTGAATTCATGAGATGGTTAGTTGCTTGAGTTTGGTGTTTGGGGTGCTTTATGAGTGAAATTGATGATTCTTAGAATGTAATGGTTACATGTTGCTTGTTGAGATAATTTTGAACTATTGATCATGTTTATATTTTGAGTTATATGTTGCATGTTAGTCTTCTTTTGAGTTTTAAGTGGATTGAGCCAAAATGAGATTCTACAAAGTAAGAAAATTCTCATCACACCAGGCGAGCCTTCATGGCATTGGCGTGGCTCAAGTTAGTGAGCTTTATCCTGATCATGTTGGGCACAAGATATGTAGTGTCGAGTATTGATCAATAAGAGGATCTCTAACTTAGTCACATCGAACATGGAGTGATAGGTGTTGGGCTTGAGTGCTTGAGGAGCTCTTTAACATGGTGATGTTGGGCCCTAAGGTGAGTGGTGCCAAACGAGATCAAGACATAGGTTTTTTTCTTAAATGATGTCCAACAGCATTATTGTGATGTCAGGCATGAGGCAAATAGAGACTCTTTGCTTGGATGAGGTTGGTTGTAAGTTTGCAATACTAGGCATTATTGACTCAAAGGCTCTTTGCATCATCCATGTTGGTTGTAGGTGGATTAGCCTTAAACATTGGCAAGCTAGAGGCTCTATGCCTTAATTGACATTGGACCTGATTTGTTGTATGAAAAACTTGGTGTTATACGTTGTTTCAAGGTTGATGAATGATGATACACTTGCATCATTATTGTTGTAAGACGGTAGCCCATTATACATTGGTCTGGGGTAATGTATAAAGATGTTTATGTTGATAGGATGTGAGTTGAATTAAGTTGTAAAATTATATAATGTTTTATAGTTGATACAATTGTTAAGTTGTTAGGTATGTGGTGATGATACATGTCGTAGTTGAGATACATAAAAACTAGAGGAGAATAAAGTTGTTTTAGAAATTAAAATATATCATTATGTGGATATAAGTTAAGGTGCACTAAGAGCCAAGGTTGAGAACTTTTTAATAAGTAAGTTGGCTTTTGAATGGGTAATTACTTTAAGTTGTCTCCTATAAGTTTTATGTGAAATTCATATAGGGCCTAGGTCAAACCATACATGTATAAAACAATCAACTGAATAAAGTAGAAAGTTAAGGGGCAAAATCCTTAACTAATTACAGGACTAATTCTATATGAGACTTAGATATGCATGCTAAAGTCTTGGGTTATAATGACATATAGTCTCTACGACGAAACACTTTGTCTTTCTAAGATAAATGCATTAAATATATCATTTATTATGTTTGATAACCATATCATCTATGTCAATTTTATTCCTTAACATATCGAGGGAATAAAATCAATTTGGTGAAACCCATTTAATATACTAACGAACATATTATTCTACAAGGAAGGAAGATGAAGAAAAACTACGAGTGAAGCTCAAGGATTTGTAACAATCTTCTTCATCGAACACCTATAGAAAGAAACTTGAAGACTCAGAAAATAATAGACATCATCTTTTGTAAAACTTCTTTTCATTCTTTTTTGTGTAAAACTCTATACTTAATTGTTGTACCATGTCTTATGAGTAAGACGAAACAATTGTTATTACCCAACTTTAACTTTGTGTTTTAGCTTGAAGCTTAAAGAAGCTTTGTGTAAAAAAATACTTGGCTGTTGAAGCCTAGAGAGGCTTTGTTGTTCAAAGAATACTTGGGTAGTTGTTTGAAAAGATAAGTCAAAGAATACTTATGTTAAACCAAAAGTGACTTGTGAAAGAATACTTGTATATTTACAAAGATAGTGGAACTTGATCGAGTTGATTAAGAAATGGATGTAGTCTCGGTAGTTTAGACACCAATTAATGAAATTACAAAATAATTAAGATTATGAAACTGTATAAACAAATTGGTGGTAAAACTCTTTGATAGGTTAATTTTT